CCCACAGAACCTTAAATTATGACGTCTGGACCCAGTAATAAAGAAATAAACGGCAAAAAACCGCCGCATGTTATGATCACGTGACATGTCACGTGATCAACAATTTTAAATAAAGGGAATTTAAGGCGAATTTGCTTTGTATTGTCAAATAAACCAGTGTTTCTGATAGAGGATAATCATATTTAATTTTCCGCGTTTGGGATAAATGTACTCAAAAAAGCTAAATTTTGGCCTCTGAAAAGACGCATATCTTCATATTTTACTGAAGGGCAATGCACAATCATCCCAAACGTGAAATGGTTAGAAATATTTAACATGAGTCGGAAAAAATCTTATCATTTGATTCCTTTTCTTAAACTCTTCACCATTTTGTCAGATAGTCAACATTTAATTAAAAATGGTCACGTGAAACATCAAGTGTACTTACTAAGGGGACACTTGTACTTAAGAATGTTAATGATGAAGTCTTTTATAGGAAATAAACCACATTTCCTTGATAAATCCATTAACCTAGGCTTTAAACCATTTGCGATTGGAACTATGTTGACGTTTATGAACTATATATACTCAAGGAATTGTTTTCAATCCAGATTTACGATTTACTTTTAGCAGTATTTGATCATGTATTAACAACAAGATCACGTTCAGTTTCAATACCTCCCAAATTTGAAAAACTTTCGTAGGTGGCTTACAGATCCACGATATTTTTCTTACTCACCCCCAATTTTTGTTTATGCAAAAATATGGTATTTATTTTATCCTTGACATAATTCTGTCGGAAGAAGTGGAGGGGCTGGAGATGGATACATGGCTCGTGATCAAGCTCCAACGCCAATTTAAAATTTCTTCAATTCGTCAATATATTACGTGATCCACGGTATGCACTGCAACTATTTACTCACAACTGCAGCAAGGCTCGATTTCCGTCGCTTTCTTGGGTCCGATCTGGTCTTGTTCCTCCCCGAGAAAAGTCTTTTCGGCAAAAATGCGCCGGCCCATTTTCCGATCAGTGGCTGGAAATCGAGCATAAACCGAAGCTGACCCCAGTATTTTATTCCTAATCAGTAACGACTGAAAACAAATCTGTCTATAGTATACTGCAAAGGGTACATTTGGTTTCTATCACTATCACCTAACTACTACTAGTGTTCGTTTGTATCCGTGTGTAACTCGAATGTTAACTATATGTTACCTGTATGTGCTAGTGACGTGTTTTAGTCAAGATCCGCGTCTACCTACTTAATTTCTAAAATTGCCCCCTTTCCGCCTCAGTAATTCGTACGAAAAGGTGAAGGCCAACTGGAAGTTTGAACGCTATTCTCTGGTCATGGAATACAAGCGGAGGCCTGTCCTAGTACCACCTTTCATAATGTTGAACCACATGCTCTCTGCTATATTGTTCTTCTATCGTCTCTGTTGTTGCAAAAGGGAAAATAGATCGAGAAATCAAGGTGAGACACTACGGATACACGCACTGATATATTTGTGTGGATTTCATACAAGGTGCCTGTACTGAGTCTCTAGACAGCCAAGTCCATAGACCTATTCGGCTAACTCTACGTTGTACCCAATTCAAACCCTTTGGGAATAAAACGTTTTGTTTCAGGAATTTCCATACATTTAAATGAGAATGCAACATTATAATGCAAGCACAAAACACAAAGAATCTTAACCCCGGGAGATTTGAATTGGGTACAACATTGAGTTAGCCTAATAAGTCTATTGGAGCAACTACTCGCTATACCCCACCCATGAAGCTTATGACTGGTCAATCATTTCCCTAAAGCTCTGCTAGTAGTGATATGATGATGAGTCACAGCATTGATTTGGCTGGGCTAGTCCACAGGTAAAATTCTCTGACCTTGCACCGCTTCCTGACATGAAACTTTCATCAAAGTGACAAAATCTCCCCTCCTTACCCCCCTGGTTTTGACACAAAACAAGTCAGCCACCCACTCACGGATAGGTGTGGGCCTGGGCTCTCTTCCGACACCTAGGAAGAGGGCAAGCCCCCTGTTTTTTTTCTGGCTACACTGGCTTGAACACGGGCGATGCTCGTGTTCAAGCGAAAACTTAGCTGGCACCTTTTAGCAAAATCACACAGATATATTTTTTGATTTTAAAATACCGAATTAATGCTCGCTTAGTCAATGAATACGGAAGTACTTGTTTTGCGCATTCGAGATCGCGACCGGAAGAGGAGAGAGGCAAAACACCAAAGTGCCCATACAAGTGGTTGAATTCTCTAAAAAACTAGGGAAACATAAAATTTAGCTCACTCACCAGAAAAACACGTTCTGGTGTCATGAAGGTAGGTATTCATGTCTTTTGAGATATTGTTGAAACAATCTTAAGTGTTAGATCGTCATTGCTATGGTACCATTCTGGGAATACGAATAACTGGTCAATGCCCCATTACAAAACGGTTGTTGGTCCCAATGGTGGCAACTGTATTTATCTATTTGCTATAGAAATTTCCTATGATTACAACTTGAAATTGTTTGAAGAGCGATGCATGGACGACTTGCTTAGACCGAAGACGGTCCCTCAAGCCACTCAAGAAGAAAAAATCAGGGTGATTGGTGATAGGTATAACTGGCTCGAATTCTTATGTATTTAATTATATCTTTAATAAAATAATTCAACTAGCTAGTAACAGTATAAACACTTTTTTGACAGGGTAGAAAACGCTTTTATTGGCTGTTCTTTGAATTGAAAAATTCCGGTTTCGAGTTTTTGAAAAAAGTTGGTCGGGGAAGTAGAAGCTCTGGTGACGGATAATGTTGCCTGCGTAGCAAGCCTTTCCTCTTAAGTCGATCATGTCAATGCGCGAAAATTGGAGCAAGAGCAAACAGAATGAAAAAAATGGAAGAGAGGGAAGGGGGAGGGGAGAAAAAATACGCTTGCCCGCCAACCCCACAATTCTGAAAAACGCCCTTTGACATTTCACGGTTCGGTTCATTTGTAGATTTACAGTTTCTCAACATAGTGGCCAATAACGTAAATAACAGAGTTCCCGATGGTAAGATTCACTTAAAAAGATGTTCCACGGGAGAGGGTTTCCCGTTAAAGCAGGATCCCTAATCAATGATCAGAGATCGAGGATCGGGGATCATTGATCATTAATCAGAAGAGTCTTTGAGGAAAGGTCCAGTGTTGATAGGCCAAGAAAAGAGCAAGCTACAAAACGCTCGCCTTTTAAAGGGCAGCGTAATCACCTTTTTAAAAGGTTTTCTAGTATTACTTCCTCCATTATATTATAAAGGAAAAATTAGAAAAAGACGATTCGTCCGCCGGGAGTCTAGTACCTGGACTTTTGCTGAACTCAACAAAAACGTCTTTTAGAGCAGTTCGTTGAGGGGCCACGAACAGAGGGGCAAGGCTACTATTTCTCATGCTAGTCTACCATTTTACAATTCGCTTGTGTTCTTAGAGTACTATTTCCCCTTTTTAAAAAGGTTTTACTTGGGTGCAGCGCCAAATAAAGGATTTGCGACGCTCAGGAATGTCCTAAAGTTGCTGTCAAGCTGTTGCTAAATTAAGGATCCACGTACTCCGAAAACTGCCTTCCCAGTAATTTCTCAAACAGCTTGTCAAGAGTAGGTAGAATTGTAATTGGTCAGTAATTCTCTACTTCTTCTCTGTTATTACTCTTATAGACTGGTAACCATTCTCCTCTCTTCCAACCTGATAACCATGTCCCTTATTCAATGATAGTGTTGAAAGTCCTGGTTAGTGAAGGTGCGAATTCCTCTGCTATTAACTTTAAAATCCTGGGTTTCATGCCATCATATCCAGGCGCTTTAGGAACACTAAGATTTTCAAGGGCATCCTTCACTTCATGATGGTTTACTGGCTGAAACAAAAGGGTTCATTTGATTCCTCCATATAGGTAGAGATGAGATGTAGACTGCTATGGTCAATAAACTCCTCCTCGGTTAGATCCTCTGCCTTCTCACCTCCTATTCCCTTGGCCATACTACAAGCTTATCTCTTTCCAATCTGCCATCAATGGATAAATGTGTTTCTCTTTTCCTGTTGCCCTCCTTGTCCTTTCTGTCCAAGAAGGGTTTGAAATTAAAAAAAATATCTGGGTTGCTCTTTAGATCGTGTGATACCTCCTTCCAGTACTGCCTTATGGCTTTACACCTTTGTCGTGTGGCCTCATTCCGCCATTTCCTCTTGAGTTCCAAATTTTCCGGTGTTTTGTTTTGGCTGTACCTTTTGCCAAACTTACGTTTTAGCTCTTATAGCAGATTTCCATGCTGAAGTCATAAAGGGAACATCTTTTGCCCAGACTTTCATTTTCTTCATAGGCAAATGTTCCTGCAAAATGGCATACTACGCATGCGCACGGTCGGTCATCCTTTAAAGAGGAGTGGCCACATGGGGCCCGTTAACAAAAAAACACAATATAAAAAAAGCAGGGAGGGATTCAATGAGCAATGGGTGGGCGTGTAATCGCTGCTCTGTAGATGCCTGATAGAATTCCAATCAAACTTCAACTTCCAGGTAAGTCTCGTTTAATTTACTAATTCTATCAGTCATCTACCGCAGAGGTCCCACGAGATTTTCAAGTCATGTGGTCACTCAGGACGTCAAAACTTACGTTATTGTTCAGAACCACTAAGTACAATGTATACCAGGCATTAGATAACCTGCACAAAAGTTAACAGTATCTTTACAGAACAAAAAACTGCCCGACAATCAGGTTAACAATCAATGTGTTTCCATAGCAGCAGAAAGAACAGCATGACTAAAACTGTCAGATAAATTTTGGGGGCTGAACTGGTTTCTTGCAAAAAGTGTTGAAAACACAGTCACCGCTCCAACTGGCGGCTTTCATAACCGCAGGCAGTGAAACATTACAGCTACGAGTCTTGCTTGCAGACGCTGCTCGGGTACTGTGCGGTTTAAATACGGTGGTGTCTACACCAGCCTTTTGCACCACAGTCCTTATCCATCTCGAAATAGTGTCTCTGGCCACTCCATGATGTGGCTTACGTTTGAAGACTGATCTCCTTAGGAGGATGAAGTGTCTTAAGGTCAGTAAGAACTATTGAAGTGTCCCAGGTGGTAGTATAACGTGGGAAAGCTGGCCTTGTTTGGAAAACGCCTTTTAAGAACCTTTGAACGAGTGGGTGATTCCCAACAGTAACATTCCCATCAAGGACGATAATGGAGGATAGGGCACTTCTTGCAGTATTTAGACAACTGTACCTCAAACCCCTTTCATAGAGTTCTTGTAGAAACTCCAACACATCTTTTACAGGTGGGTGAAGGGGATCCACGGCCCTCCTATCTGCCAATGACTGCCACTTCTCAAGCTAGACCCGGTATTGTTTTTGGGTTGCTGTCCACCACTTGTTGAGGATTGTGTCTTGAGTTGCTTGTGAAATTCCTCTACTCTTGAGGGATTTCAGCATAAGAGGCAGGCCATCAGACGAAGCTGTCCCCCAAGAGGTGGCGCTGTTCTGGGTTGAATGGTAGAAGGACACTGTTCGTGTGTCTTGGCAGGAGGAGTGGCTTCCGAATCAAAAGTCTTGTTAGCTTAGCTTGGGGGCAATCAGCATGGCTTGGGCTTGACCCATTTCCACAGTTCTACAGAAATTGTGGCAGGATGCTAGAAGGGGGAAAGGCATATAAAAACTGATTAGTCCAATGCAGAGTAAACGCATGAATTGCCATGGCTTGTGGGTCTGCTAGCCACGAGACAAAAGGTGACATTATGTAACTCTAATGTGATCATGGCTCACTTCCTTACAAAGGGACTGCAAGCCCAAGAGACTTGCCTTTAGCTCCAAGAAATTATTATGGTGGCTTTCTTCTGAACTGGACCACCTTCCCCAAATTGTGGTGTCGTTCAGGCTTGCACCCCACCCCTGGGTAGAGGCATCAGTGT